AATATTATAGCAGCCTGATCAACGTTGCTGTTACTGAAGATTAGCTGTTAGCTGCTGTTAGCTGTTGTTAGCTGCTATTAGCTGTTGTTATCTGTTGATTTTGAACACTGAGATGTTACCGGGCTAACGTTAGCAAGCAGTAGTGCAGCTTGTTTATACAAATGTGGTGTGATTGGAATGTCTGGAGAAGCTACAGCGGCAGCTCTGCCTCTGACTACTAAAGTCTGCGTTATATTCATGCTAATAGGCTAAAGCTAATTATCAACACTACACGCTTTCTGTGTCACATGAACCTGACGAGCTAACTACAACAAGCTAACTACAACAAGCCAACTACAACAAACCAACTACAACAAGCCAACTACAACAAGCCAACTACAACAAGCTAACTACAGCAAGCCAACTACAGCAAGCCAACAACAACAAGCCAACTACAACAAGCCAACAACAACAAGCCAACTACAACAAGCTAACTACAACAAGCCAACTACAACAAGCCAACAACAACAAGCCAACTACAACAAGCTAACTACAACAAGCCAACTACAACAAGCCAACAACAACAAGATAACTACAACAAGATAACTTCAACAAGCCAACAACAATCAGAATCAGAATCAGAATCAGAATTCTTTTATTTGCCAGGTATGTTTGCACATACAGGAAATTGCCTTGGTGTAATTGGTGCACTACTTATGTACATAAAACAACAATGTAGAAAAACAACAATATATAAGAAATTGTATAAAATAAAATAGAATAAAATAAAATAAAATAAAGTAAAGTATATACATATATGCAGTAACAGAGTAGTAATAAATTATAAATTATGTGCAGGTGGTGGGGTGTGGTGGGGTAGAGTCAGTGCGGTGCAGAGTCAGTGTGATGCAGGGGGCTTGTTTGTGAGCCCCACTGCCACGGGGAAAAAACCCTAACAACAAGCTAACTTCAACAAGCCAACTACAACAAGCCAACTACAACAAGCCTACACACTGATTACAATCTATTAAAACAGTATGTTGTGAATCAAATCAAAGATGGGAGGAGTGAAGGTAAACCGTGTTGATTAAAAACATGTTTCAGTTTCTCTCAGATTCTTATGGATCAGCTGATTCAGCAGAAGGTGGTGACCTCTGACCCTGTCCTGCAGCAGCAGAGGGCGCTGTCCGGTCCCCCTCTAGCAGTCCTGCTGGTGAAGAAGGAGCCATCGACGCCGATGCTCAGCCCACAGGTGAGTGAAAGGGCTCGTCCTCAATATCATCATCCTCACCATCATCATCACTATCATCATCATCACCATCATCCTAACTATCACCATCATCCTCACTATCATCATCATCACCATCATCCTCACCATCATCATCACCATCATCCTCACTATCATCATCATCACCATCATCCTCACCATCATCATCACCATCAT